ATCATGGGCAAGTTACTTAAGCTCTCCATACTGTATATTTCTGACCTGTAAAATGGGATAATAAGAAAACCTGTGATTCAGGGTGTTCACAACCAAAGAGTTAAAGCATTTAAATATTGCTATTTTATTTGTGTTGCTGCTTTGTTAGTTGCAATTATTTATCAAAATGGTATTGCTGCTTCCCTTTGCACCTTATCAGAGATATAGATTGCCCAACTTCCAGGGCTATATTTTAAACAGCTATCATGAAGCTGATATATGTACACCTACTAGATATTTTTCAGCATGAGAGAGGTTCAGTAGATTAATGTCCAAGTTTCTTAGGCTGCAAGATAAGGTTGCCATGAGCTGGTTTATTTAATTTCCTTGGCACATGGTTTACCACTTTTCTTGTACTCTGCCATGTAACTTTCACTCTAGCCACCTTGGACTCCTTGTCAGAAGTGACCCCCAAGGTTAGAAGGTCACAGAGATATTCGGAGAGGCTAAGCAACATTTGCCAGGATATTCTCTGACTCTGAAACCTTCCCAGTTTCCATCAATCCATTCTCTGCAGCAGTCCTTAAGAGCTGTCTTGTATGAAGATCATGTACTCTCATTGTCTGTATCTGCCACTTGACTGAGCTTTTGAGGGCATCTTGTCTCACTCGTCTCTCAATTATATGCACCTGGTACTAAGTAGGGACCAACAGGAGATTTAATGAATGCTTGATGAACTGGATAGTCATGTGGATGTATTTGTATATACTTATTTATACATGAATAAGACACTGACTCCTCATGGATTAATCAAACCAAACACTATTACTGCTAAGCACTCACATATGGCCTTAGATCTTAATGAGAAATGCTCATGTTGAAATTTTCAAAGATATTGGTGAGCTAGACAAGGCTGTCTGTGGATGAGGGACACTGTCCCCCACATGTAGAATGTGCCCCCACCTTTTTATGGAAAGTGGCAGGTAAAATGTTAGACTCAACATTTTATTAAAAATGAGAAAAAATTTTTTCCTTGCCTTCAGTCTCACACATTACCATAAATGATCATAATACAGTTGTATGTGTTAACACAGTTTTGTCACATACGTTTTATGTTATTAGAATTCTAATTCAACCCAGGAAGATGGTAGGACAAGAGTTATTTTTTCCAAAATTATTCATGAAGAACCCAAGGTTCAGGGAAGTTAACTGTTTTACTGAGGGGTAGCTGATGTGGTAACTGTGGAAGAAGTAAAAGCTCTGAATAGATGTCAATTGACAAAACACTGCTGTAATAAATTAGTATTCCCATCCTGACTGACTCAATCAGCAGGAACAAATTCACAGGGTAGGTAGAAAAGGGAATGGGGAGGAACCTGTTATAGTTTGTTAAATAATGACTACTAGAAACTCAAGGAAAAAAAAGGAAAGAAAGAAAAAAAAACAATAAAAAACAACAAAGGAACAATAGCTATAGTAATTTTTAAAGGCTAGATACCTAGTAAGTGATAGGACCCAAAATGTATCCCAGAGATTGGGGTTGTAGCTCAGTGGCAGAGCGCTTGCCTAGCATGTGTGAAGCACAGGGTTCGATCCTCAGCACCACATAAAAATAGACAAATAAAGGCATTCTGTCCATCTCTAATTATAAAAAAAATTAAAAATGTATCCCAGAATTTTTGTGTCCAACTGACAGATTTCCACAATGCCTTCCAGAATCCCATATATCACATCTGGAATAGACAGGAAGTATGCACAGCTTATAATTAAGATTATCCCTGAGGATCTTAAAAGAGCTCACTATAAGGATACTGCCACATCAATGATCATAGCGGCACAATTCACAATAGCTAGACTGTGGAACCAACCTAGATGCCCTTCAATAGATGAATGGATAAAAAAAAATGTGGCATCTATACACAATGGAGTATTACGCAGCACTAAAAAATGACAAAATCATAGAATTTGCAGGGAAATGGATGGCATTAGAGCAGATTATGCTAAGAGAAGCTAGCCAATCCTTAAAAAACAAATGCCAAATGTCTTCTTTGATATAAAGAGAGCAACTAAGAACAGAACAGGGAGGAAGAGCATGAGGAAAAGATTAACATTAAACAAAGACGAGTGGGGGGAGAGAAAGGGAGAGAGAAGGGAAAGCATATGGAAATGGTAGGAGACCCTCAACGTTACACAAAATTACATATAAGAGGTTGTGAGGGGAAAGGGGGGGGGAACAAGGGTGAGAATTGAACAATAGCAGATGAGGTAGAGAGTGAAGATGGGAGGGGAGGGTGGATAGTAGGGGATAGGAAAAGTAGCAGAATACAACAGTCACTAATATGCCATTATGTAAAAATGTAAGTGTGTAACTGATGTGATTCTGCAATTTGTATTTGGGGTAAAAATGGGAGTTCATAACCCAATTGAGTCAAATGTATGAAAGATGATATATCATGAGCTTTGTAATGTTTTGAACAACCAATAAAAAAAATAAAAAATAAATAAAAAGAAAGATTATCACTACATAACTTCCCTGAACTCCAAGGCCCTGGGCACACAGTGGCAAGTCAAGGATCTCCAAGGGTCCAGATTGTGCACAGAGTTTAACATTTCTCTGTGTGTCCCTGTGTCTCTCCACCCTTCTTTGTAAAATGTTTCTTTTCCTTATTCAATAGAGTGTTAGTAATTAAAACAAAAGGAAAACATAAGTGGTACCTCAGTATTAAGTCCGCTGGGACTTCAGTGATTTATATTCTCTTTCCTCAGCAATATTTGCTATAAAACTACTGAAGGTAATATTTAGAGGAAGTGGATATTTTGCCACAATATCCTTTCCTAATCCTCAGAGCATTTCCTTGATATCTATCAGCAGTTCATAAAGACTTTAACACTTTATGAGCGATATGTTGACTTCCTTTTGCAATGGCAAGGAAAAAAATAATAAAAATAAACTTTCATCAAAGAGGACCACAATGCCTCCCCAAATGAAATTGGGTAATAAACCAAATAAAATAGGCACACAAAAAAAAGTGGAAGCAGGTTTTAGTTTGTTTTCCCATACTCCAGCTCCAAACCTGTACACTGGGAAGATTTATTTGATTTATTTAGTTCAGTCTTCTCTGAATAAAAGAAACTATAGTGGGATTTTCATCAACTTATGTCTAGGATGTTAACTGAAGGTGATGATTATTGTTTTGAAATATTAGTGGGAGGAAGCAGGGAGAGATACAACAATATAAAATATAATGTTTCAGGTTTGTACCTGAAGACAAAAAGCATTTCTGCAATGTCCACTGGAGTAGGTTATACTGTTCCAATTCTTTATAACTCCCAGACCTGACACTTATATTTTTAAGAGTTGATTTTTATAGGAAATCAAAGTAGAGATATCTGGAACATTTGAAATTGAATAAAAACTTCAAGCTCAGGAATACTACTTTAAATGTGTATGCCTCCAAGTTTAAGAGGACAATTTACTTGTAATGGTACTTTGAAAAGATGTTGATTTAATAGAGTTTTTTTTCCCCTCCTCAAGCTGTAGACATTTATATAGTTATGTTGCTTTTCTTTTTGTCTGCACACCATCTGCGTGGTATAATATTTTAATCAACTCACTTCTTTAAAAATGTAAAATAAACATTTGTTTTAAAAGGGAACCTTATATCCATACCTAAAAATAAGAATGTTATTTTTACTTGCCATAAATGCAAGGTAAACTTGGAAATAAATTGAATGAACGCAAAACAATGTTCTGATCAGCCTAACAAGGCACTGAGAGTCTGCTTAAGGCTCTGAGTCTGAGGCCAGCATTCAGCTTGTTAGAGAGATCAGTACCAGCAGGGAACTAAAATGTTCTCTCTTGACAAAATCAGGTTGAAAGAGAATTAGAAAGTGAGTAACTTCCCCACCTATTCATTTTCCATGTCTGTGACCCATGTCTCATCAGAAATCACCACAGTGTGGGCCACCATTCATAGCATAACAAACACTGGGGCCCCCTAACCAGTGTGAGCTAGAACCAAACCAGAGGTAGAAATCTTAATACTTGGTGCTTACCAATCTGGGATTTGGGGTAGCCAATATCTCTTTTTTTGTGTGTGTCTCACATCCTTCATCCAAAAAAGAGAAGTAATAACATCTCTATCATCACGTGGTTCTGTGGGTTAAACAGAGTAATCAATTCAAATTACTATTAACTTTCCATGCTTTCTCCCCCCATTCTATTTACAAACATGAAGACTCCATCCATTCTACCCCATGTGTCTTTACCCTTCACATCTCCCTCCTTTACAAAGAAAACTTATTTTGTGTAGCTCACCACCCCTCAGTTTTTCTAGACTCCTGTGAGGCTTTTGTTCTTCTGAATAAGTCACATCCAATAATCCAATAAACTTCTTAACTCTATCTGCCATTGTTTTGAGAGCATCACTAGAAAATATATGACTAAGATGATAGATAGATAGATAGAAAGATAGATGAAATAAGAGAAGGAAAAATGGCAACAATGTAATAAAATATACTATAAATACTTCTGGGTAGGGGTAAGTGGAAAGATTTTGAAAGCAATAGATTCTGCTCAAAAATGAGACTTTGAAATCGCATCATTTAAGTAAAAGTTCATGGGGGAAAAAAAATAAGTTCCTCTTCTTAAGACAAAAACAGCTTTAAAGTCCCATCAGGCTCTTTCCGAAAGGCTTCTCAAACATCAAATACCTTTTGCAAAACACTTCATTGATTTAAGTGTAAATTAATCAGGAATGCATGGATTCCATCTCCCTTAGAATACACATGGATTTTTTTTCATCCAAATGCAAACTGCCTTTCCTGTTCTCCATCACTTCACAGTCTGAAAGGGTTTCTTTAGGTGCTCAAGGCTGACTCAAAAGTGCTCAGCCTTGCCCTTGATCCTTCCAAAGTGGGAACTTTGCCATGAGACTTCTGTGGTCTTCTGTGAGCATACTAAAGGAATGTGCTTTCTTATAATTCTTTACAGAAAAGAAGTAATTAATAAGCAATGTGACCTTGGTAATCTTTCCAGGCTCTAGTGCCATATTGTGCGAAAAGCCACTGTATTCATGTACTTCTGATTTGTTTTCCATCTTCAGCGTTTGACTAGATGTCTCTGGATTCCTCATCTTAAAAAAAAATGGGGGTACAAGACAAGATATCTTTATCTTATAGCTTGCTGAGAGATAGATATAATAAATTGATAAAAACATATTGAGCATCTCTTTCATGCTACCAGGGATTAAAAAACAAATGAACAAAATACTTTTCTTTATTCTTAAAGGAAACTCCGAGCTCTGGAGAAGGACAGCACTCTGGGAATCTATTTTAGAGCTCCTTCAGATAAGGTGACATGTGTGTCTAATGGTAATGGAGACAGTACACTCTGCTGGAGGGATCACTTACTTCCTGGATGGAAATTGCTTTGTCAACGCTCAGGTACTAAATTATGAGGCTCTAAGGAGCAGATGGATTCTCATTAATCCTGGGTGTCATTATAATTGTTATTCTTACTACTATTACTATAAAACAAATCACCATGAGATCCGAATTGTTTCCCTATGTTCACTCTTAATTGTGTCAGTTGGATGCAGTTTTGATATTTTTCAATTGTTCAGTGTTTTCGTCTGTTATCTTCGCTGTTCTATTTCTGTTCTAGGGGATTGAGTTTCCTGGTTTTGTTGCTTTTCACTTTGTTTTGCCATCCTCTCTTCTCCCCTCTTCCTTTTCCAGTGAAATCTGTTATCCTCACTGAGCTCCCCACACCAATCTGCTGGGCCATCTGATTTTTTCTAACTCCAAATCTGGGTCTATTTCTAGCTAACTGTTGACAATAATACCATAGTTATCTTTGCACTCATATTCATTTATTCGTTATCTTAAATAATACAACTTTTGAACACTGACAACATATCAGGTTTCAGCTAGGTTTGGGGAACACAGATAAGGATCAGAGAGTCCCTGGTTTCCAGGAGCTGAGAACTGGGACAGACAATACACATAGAATGGTAGTACAGTGTATGCAACCTCCGTCTATAGTCCATGAGGCAAAAATTCTACAACTTACAGGGGTGAACAAGCTGTGGGGATCATATAAGGATCTCTTCTCTGGCCATCTGCTCTTCTTCTGTAGGAGCTATCAATGGGCACACATGCAAGGAAATTAACATGTACATCCAAAGTTAGTCATAGTCCTTTCATTTCCTTTAGTGCGACATCCTGTGAGTTAAGTTTCCCTATCCACACAGGCAAATGAGACTCAGAGAGGTTATCTAACCAGTTAACCAGCTAGTTCAATTTACAGAGCCAGGACTTGAAATCAGATCCAAATCACTTCAAATATCTTGCTACGTCCTGTATGTCTTTCAGTTATCTTTTTTTCAAAATACTAAGGAAAGGGCTGGTGGAGCACTTGCCTAGCATGCATGAGGCACTGAGTTCGATTCTTAGCACCATATATAAATAAATAAAAGGTCCATCAACAATTGAAAAAAAATTAAAAACGAAATACTAAGGAAAGTTTAGTTCGGCCTTACACAGAGGATAAATAGATTGTGTTACAAAAGTGATATTAGAAAAATATTAAACACCCTAATTAGAATTTGGAGAAGTAAAATACATTTCCCTTTGCAGTTTCTTAATCTAAAAATTTAGGATTTACAGTAGATAGTAAATGAGATAACATATGTAAATCCATCCCTAAGTGTCTGGCAAGGCTTAAATGCTCAACACCACAGATACCGACTATAATTGCTAATGCTATTTATCATCACTTCCTACTCCAGAAAAGTGATTATGTGCCTTATGGCATTTGGAAGGAGAAAGCAACCCAGTGAAAAATAAAGTCTTATTCCTGCTCAGGAACAATGACATAATCTGGGGTAAGAAAGCCAGAATACCTTTATACGGAGAAGAAGAAATCAAGAAAAATTCATGAGGCTCTATGATTCTGTCACAGATATTGGTTTCTCACTTTGGGAGAAGAGAGGAGTCAATCTTACATACCTCTATTTGAAACGAGTTGTTTAGATTTCCTACCAGTAGATACCAGAGAAAAGTTCAGGATATATTAGAACATATGAGAGCACAATATATTTTTTTCCTTACATTATTGTCTTCCTCTGATTCTCCAATACTCTTCGCTCCCCAAATCTGCAGCATACAAGATTTGCTTTGAAGAAGACTTCAGGGCTGCATTAATGAGCCAGACTCCAGGGTACTGAAATCATTCAGTCAAGACAAGACATTATTAGGCTGAATAGAGACTAGGTGAAGGGAGTAAAAGTAATCTCACCAGAAAATGAAGGTAGATCTTTTCTAGATTATGTTAATTTGAATCAGATTACCTGAACTGTTTTGTTTTGGACTGCTTTGTCCAGTGTTCTGGCTTCATATTTTGAAGATTATTCAGATTGTTAGTTTAATGATTTTTTTTCCCTGAACCATATTTGCAAAGAAAAACACTGTGCTAACATCCCTTAAAGACTAATGACATAAAATCTGTTCTTGTTTTTTTCCAAGAGCTACCTGTGTAATCTTAGACTCAGAAGTCAAAAGACTTGCCCAATTATTTTCCTCTGAAATGAAGAAATTGAACAAGAAAATCAGTAAGGGTCCTTTTGGCTCTAAAAGCATGTAACACAACAAAACTGAGGTAATAATAGTTATTCTTTCCATCTCACAAGATTATTGCAAGAGCCACAGTGTAAGAGTCAATGTGCTAGGATGTATATAAAGGGCTATACAAATCTAACTAGCAATAGCAGAAGTATGACAACCTTAGATTTTAGTACTAAGAACTTGAAAAAGACTTTGTACACCATTTGGTTTCATTATCCCCAAATGGTCTCCAGAATGGTGCTTATTATGCTGAATCAGAATTAACTTGACTGATTTTTTTTCTTTTTAATACAGATCCTATTTAGAGTGTTTGATTTAATTCCATTAGCCATGGATTCTGAAATCTATATTTACAAAGTCACATCCTATTGAGGATTATTATTCTGTTTCTAAACATGTGGTGTTTTGTTCTTCTTTTATTGCAACTTATGCATCATTTCTAAGCGAGGTAATGCATTCATTAAATATAGGTTACAAGAGGCTTAGTGGGTACTTCATTGGTAGAGTGCATGTTTAGTACGCATGAGGCCTGAGCTTCAAATCCCATCACCACACAAAAAAATAAGTTATGATAATCACTTATTATTAATATTTTAAAGTTAAAAGATACATTAGATAATATATGGTGTTGCAATATTTTCATACAAATTTTACTCTTATTTTATTAACTGTATAAGCTTGAGCAAGTTACTTAAATTCTCTGATTCAGCTTTATCATACTTTAAAGAAGAACAACAATATCTATGATCCATGGGATGCTGAATGTACAGAAACTAATGGGGTATATTATAATTTGTTATATTGTTATGGTTGTCTTTAAAATATTGGAGGCTTTATGATATTTGAGGGTATTGACAAACACAGAGTACTGCGTAATAACCACAGTATTAGTAAAGCAAACTCAAAGTTGTATAGCAGATGTCTAGATATCTTAGCATCTGAATGGATGCTAATTCGTAAGTTTGTTTACAGGTATCTCTCTCTTTGGAGACCAAGTGTTTAATAGTTTATGTTTGGGAGGGTAAAATTACCTTCTGTTATTGTTAGTTCGTTACAAAATTTATAGAGATAGGCCCAAATGTGTGTCTTGCAGGAATTTAATCTTACTATTTAACTGTATTTATTCATACATAGATGTGTTTGCAAAAACAACTGCATTTTTCTTCTCCAAAATATTCTTTCTCAGATCCTACCATTTCAAGTCTCTTAAGCAAAACCACTGTTTACAATAGAGCTGTTTTAATGACATTTATGAAAATACAGATTCGGATCACAGTTTCCCTATGGACCACCAAAGAGAATTTGAAACCCTGTTAGTAGATGTGAGATGAAAGGCGAGTTCAACTGTATATCAAAATTGTATCTGAGGAACTGAAATTGTTTTATATGCCTCAATTAGGCCTCATACCACCCCCCTGAGGCAAGAAAGAAGTATTGTGCACTTTTATGGAGACACAAACTTAAAACCCATGGAGAGGTTAATCAATTTGCATCAAAAGCCATATAGTTGGTCTGTAGTGGAGTTAGGAACAAAACAGAATTTCCTCCTAGGGAGCAACCTACCTTCTTTTATTTGCCTGATTACCAGAGTGTATGAAACTTCTGGAAAAAATTGTGATGAATGTTCAAAAGAAGCCCCTGAGAAAGGATTAGCATTTGTTTCCCAGTTTAGTAAATGAGCGATTTGTTTTTCATGCAAAAGCAACAGCACTTTTTGTTTTGTTTTGCCAAATACTTATGAGGAAATGACCCCTTTGAGGAAGGAGAAAAGAAGAGCAGAGCAATTCAGAAATTAGGATAGCAATTTCTTTTTCTTACTTCTTTTCACCTCCTTCTACATAGCAACCTGCACAGATATTGCACGCTAGAGGGCACTTGAGGTAGAAGAAAAAAAGCCTCCATATCCATCTAACAAGACCAGTAGCCTATGCAGGAAGGAGACTGCAACAGAAAAGCCGTAGCCTGTTTTCCACATGGCAGCACCTGTAATAAACGAATGGACAAAAAAAATTCTTAGACAGCATTATGCAGTCTTGACAGATAAAGAAATCCTGTTCCTATTCTCTGTAATGTAATTTCCTTTCAACCCTTTTGGAGCATTTGTCAAATGCATATATATGTGGTTTGCTCTGTAATAACAACTTGATAACTAATCAGAACTATAAACTCCCTTTTACACCTAAGAGACTGTTGTGCACCGCCCATACATCTGTATTTACCTACATGTCTGTTTTGATACTTTAGCATGAGTCTATAATTTCAAATAATGACAATCTTCAATGAGACCTTCTATAATGAGACCTATAATCAATTAAATTTAATTATCATATTTTAATATTCAATGCATTCTGTTATATCAAAACAGTAGTATTTGGGGGGGGGGTCTCTCTCCTTTTGTCTTTTTTTTTCTCATATTCTTTATTTTCCCTTTTTTTCCTGTTTTTAGAAAACAAGGTGAGATTTAAAAAAAAGAAATTTCCACTTCTTGCCTCCCAAGTTAAACAAGAAGGGTACAGAATCTTAATCCAGTTACTGTTTGCTTTCAGGGGGAAGAAAAAAATAGAAAACAGAAAACTAAAATGCTCAGTGTGAGGTCCGCAAAACTAGCTTAGTTGATAGCTTTGTACCAGTCCCCTTAAATCTATCTGTCCTCCTCTCCTGCCCCCAGTTTCTGTTAGAAGATGAATTGGAGCTTATCTCTTTTCTAGCACCTGGGAAGATGGGAGATAATGCCATTTTTGAAGACCTTCTCCAAAATGCTCTCAGTACAGCTGTGGTTTTCAGAAAGTGTTTACACCTCCATTTACAGAAAATATAACGGGAAGCTCAAGATTAGTAATTATAGTCAATATTCAGAGACACAGGCCTAATTTCAGGGACAGCTTCAACCAGCAGCCAAGAATATAGAGGCTCACAGCTCGGAAAAGCAAGCTCAGTGATGACTTTACCCCCGAGAATTCATAATCACCTCTACAAAAGTCAGTTTATTTATTTTTAATCCTATAATAAACACTAGTGAAGTAACCACATGATAAATTTAGTGTACTTACAATTTGCTCTTTATTTTATTAAGACAACATTTTGTCTTAGAATATTTCAGAGCAAAAAAAAAAATATTAATATCATATATCACTTTATTTTTTCTTCCTCCTCGTCTTTACATGTATCACATGAGTAGGAGATTGCCTAAGGCAGTGGTTCTCAAACTTTAGCAAGCAACACAATTCCCTGGAGCATTTGTTAAAACCCAGATTTCTGAACAACACCAAGATGCAAGGCCTAAAATTTGCATTTCTAACAAATCTTCAGAAGATGCTGAGACAGAAACTGGTACAGGGATCACAGATTGAGAACCACCGACTTAAAAAAAAAAAAAATCCCTGTAACTATTCACCTTCACTCAATTTGAGTATTGTATCTTTTAGTGATTTTAGTACGAGGAGGCTGGTTTAAAACACACTCCTAAACTTAACAAAAGAAAGAGCTATCTTCAACTTATTCAAACATTTGCAAACGTCTCAAAACTGCATTCTTATTTTTTCATTCATATGTTCTCCAATATTAAAATTCAAAATGAAATATGACTTTTCTTATGCCCAATGTCAAGGTTATTATTTACTTCTCACCCTCCCATTCCAAATAAAGAACATAGTTTCAGATTTCTTCAACCTAATGAAATGTGGGAAAATGTCTCTGCATTTCTATAAAATATTACATATTCATTGGTGTTGTATTTATGTTTTGGCATTTTTCATACCTCAGATTCTTGAGATTTCTACTTTAAATAATACCCTAGGCAGGTCTCAAATTGTAAATTGCCTTCCTTCATGAATTCACAATCCTGGGCCCACCTGATATAGTCAGGAAGATGTTCCATGAATTCACTAGTTCATCTTAAGTTTAAAAGTAATTCATTAAACCTAAAATTTCTCAGTACTCATACCATAGTAGATAAAATTCTTGGTTTATATTATTTTTAGACTTCCATGGTTTTTAAATATGTGCTAAAGGATAAAAATTGCAAAAAAAAAAAAAATCCAGTTCAAGGCATCACATAATAGATAATGTTCCAATCTACCATTTCCTCCTGCAAATAGTGAAGTTGGAGTCTTCTAGCTCTGCCACAGTCTTCCAGAAGTACAAGATAGCTGACTCCCCCCTCTCTAATTCACCCTCCAACTTAATAAACAATTGGTACACTGTCTCCCTTAGTGAAAATTGTGGGGAAAAAAAAAAGCCTCTAGCCATGGTGAGAAAGAAAATGCTTTTATTACATGGAGTGTCTCTCCATCTCATCCACTCTCAACCACAGTAGACCCCTGCATAACTGTCTGTCTGTCACAGAGATCCATCCAGACTGGAGACATCCTGTCTCATCCCACTTTTTGCATCAGGTCTAAGATTATTCTGAATGCAATTATCCCTCTTCCCTCACCTCTCCTTCTAATGATATACCTGCCCTATCAGATCAGTCCTCACCCTTCCTCCTCTGCAATGCTCATTGCTCCACAACACATGAAATTTCTGTAGCCATTCTAAAAAGCCTATGTAGCACAATCCTCTTCCAGCTGGAAGGCTGTAACCCTAGGCGGATGTTGAAAAGAAAACACTTTCTTAAGGGGGTAGGCTCTCACCATTGTGGCATTACACTGCATCCTATTAAGAGTGGGTGGAATTGTTAAAGAAACAAATGCCTTGTCTTTCAGCATCCCAGATTATTTTAGAAAGATCCTTGTAGGACTTTTTAACATTATTCTAATCCTCTTTCACACTTCTTAATCACCCAGACCTCTCTGAAGAATTCTTCAGGAAATTCCTACTGCAATGCTTCGAGCAGAGATTAGCAAATGTAGAAAGGGTTACCTTAAATTTGAGAGGGCCAAAAGCCTAGGAAGATATGTACTTAGCTGCTCCAACAGTAAATACAGATAGGAAGAGTCAAAACAAACTCATTATAACCAAGATACCCACAGTCATTGGATTCTGACACTCTTTGTCAGCACCATTTTATTTATTTTCCTTTAAGAAAATGAGATTGGAGTATATTTCTCTAACACTCTCGCTTTCTTTTGAAATGAGTTTGTTACCTGTGACAATCCCCAGCCTTCAGTAACATATGACCTTTTCTTTATTTCTCATAGATGTAAGAAAGTACCCCAAGGAAAGGTTCAGACCATTTGTTCCAAGTGAAAATGAATGTCTAAAAATTAAGTGCAACCTAAGATGTGATCTATTTCTTTGTCCACTTGGGACTGTCTGGTCTAACATCAGTTATAATTTGATTGAGCCTTGGCTGCTGTTTTTTTTCCCCCCCTCAAGACAGAATTAGCCAATTTCAGAATACCCTATAAGCAGATACAGTCTAAGAAAAGAACAGTTACTTAATATCTGCTTGGGGGAAAATACCTCCTGCCCCCCCCCCCACCACACACACACAATAAGTCGCTGTTTCTTATCCATGAGACCTAAAATGAGAAACAAATAGGTATCAGACCTACAGTCAATATTCTTTTCCACATTAACAATGAGAAGTGAGATGCAGCACAGAAAGTCAAATTTGCATAATTATCAGGGTATTGTGCTTATTTTCCCATTCTGTTCACTCTTTCTCAATAATTTGAGTCAGATGGGACAAACTCCACTTATGTATATCTGATCCTCTACACTCTTTTCCCCTTCTACTTCACTCCCTCCCCAGGTGGAAAAAAAAAAATCATCCTCAGAGCTCACCTCTAGTGCTCAGGGAATGGACTAATGCAGATTCTCCTGAGGAAGAGTTTTTTGTTGTTGTTTTTTGTTTTTTTGTTTTTTGGACATAAGGACAAATTTGTATTACATTTCGATAATCTTGTTATTGAACTACTGAATGTTTCTATGTAATAACCTCAGTAATGAAAAGAAATCTGGACCTCCTGATTCACGACCCCTTCTTCTTACCCTGGCTCAACACTTGGGTGGCCATTTCTCAAGACATGGTGGAGTCTATAAGAGCATTTGAAGGGACCACCAACAGTGCATCTCTTGGTGGGGGGAGTGGAGTTGCAAGAATGGTACCTGAGAGGAGATCAGGTTAGTGTGCACTGAGGAGACTTGGCAATCCCTCCCTTATTTCCAGAGCAAGTCCTGGTCTTAGCATTCACTGCGTACCCCTCCTGGCTGCCCCTCTGCTGTACCTCATCCCATCTTCCCAAAGGAGTACAAGCGCCAAGACATCAGAAATGCGCCTCACCCCAGGACCATGATACATAACCATTAAACCAGTAGCGTCTGAATGGTAGGCAGTGTTCTTAGAAATACTCTGTTCTGTAAGCAAGAGACCCTCAGAATAAAGAGAAGGTAAACTGCCCACAGGCATCCTTTTTCCTTGAGGCATCCTCTTTCTCCCTCGGAACACTGCTGTGGGTCCCTGAGATTCTTCTCAAGATAACACTGGCCTCAGAGCTCAGGTGAGACCTAGAGAGAGAAAGCTCCCGGGTACCTCCTCCGCTTTCTTTTCTTATCTGCCAGCCCTCTCATCCAACAGCTTGGCCCTCAGCAGGCTGTGCGCACAGCATGGAAGGGCGCACCTTCACCCCGTGGTTCGGGCGGCGGAGACGCGCTGGGCGTGCTCGCCATCCAGGAGCGAAAAGTTGTGCGTCCTCTTGGTAGGGAGAAAGAGAGCGGAGAGCTAACGCGCGAGAGCGCTGGGGAAAGCAGGGAGGGGGCGGGGTGGGGGGGCCGCTTACACGAATTTCCAAGTGGTAGACCTGCCTCTGCGCTCTGCCCAATGAGATCCGTCAGGGGAGGCACCCGGCTCACTTTTCCACATCACTTCACAGTTACATTTGGCAGGCAGGCGGGCTCGCACGCCGAAGCGCTCAGCCCAGAATTAGTGGATTTTATTTGGAATCTCCCTGCCTCCTCGAAGCTCCTCCGCCACCACCGGTTTGTGCATAGACGGTAGCGTCCATCCGCCAGCTGCACTTTGGGCTGCGGACACCCGGAGCCCAGCGCGCCTGCCCCGCGTCTCCGCACCAAGCTCCGCAGCTCCGAGAGGCATGAACGGAATCTGGAGGCGCCTGCCCAGTGCACCGGGACCGGTCAGCACTGGCCGCCCTGGAGAGCGGACCCCGATCCCCTCCAGCCATTTGTGAACCAGGAGGCTTGAAATTCACCAGCTCAGAGCCCCGTAAGAGTAAGTACTCCCCCCCCACTACGTATTCCTTCATACCCGAAGAACCAGAAGGGATTGCTTCTTTTAGGAATTCCCGTGTCCCTTCGGACACCTTGCGCACCTCCTTTCCCCCAGATGGTGGATGCGGGTTGCTAGCTCCCAACACCTACAGAGCTGCGTCTCCTTTCGCCTTACCCATGGCTGACAGGGACGCCTAAGGGTTTTGCCTGATGGTTTTTGCAAACTGCTCTGACAGCAGATCCTGAATATCAAGCTACAGGCTGTGCCCCTCCAGTTTTCCCGGCGGTCTCCCTCCTTGCGGTCTCCTGGCGATTTCGCCGCCTCCTGACACAGGCAGGCGCTGCTGCAGCCGCGCGCCTTCACTGCGGGGTCCGTGCGGTGAATGGGAAGCCCCCGCCGCCTGGCGTTGAGAGGTGCGAACCCAAGGGAAAGGAGGCTGAGGGGCTCCAGGGGCCCTCTCTCTCGTTTCCTGCACTTCCTCCTCTCCAAGGCGAGGGAGGGCGAACCCCGCAATGGGGCTGAGGGGCATGGCTCAGTTGTGAAAGCCCCAGCGCGAGGCTTTCCCACAAGTGGCTGCTCTAGCCTGGGGGGCGCGGTGCCAGCTGCAAACTTACCCTGCTCCCGGGCTCCGAAGCCGTTTTGTAGTTGTGTCCTAGACAAGACGCTGCCCCGCAACCAGGCAGGACCCCAGGAATCCCCCACTAGCCTCCCAGCCGGCGATCTTGCACTCACAGAGGCCCCTGAGCAGGGGACTCCTCCATAGCTCCTCTCCTATGTCTCGCAGAGCCAGGAGCTGCGTTTTCTGTCATCTAGCGGCTCTTCCTCCGAGAACCCTTGGGGGGCGGGCCGCGCCCCTCGCAGGACTGGAGGAAGATAGGGTTTTTTCCTGGTTCTGCCAGCGCGTAACAGGTTCATAAGGGATCTACTCTCGTTCTGCGTGCTCCAGCCAAGGCTGCGAAACAGTGAAAACGTGCAGCCGCCAACGCTGATGCCAACAGGTATCCACAATTTCCTCCGCATCTTCCCTCCCCAAGACCAAAGCCTTCCCCAATTCAAATTGGCAGAAGCCTCAAAGTTTCCTGGTCATTGACCCTCCCCGCAGGCACCGAGCCGCGGCACGTCAAGGACCAGTCGTTTGCCTCCGAGAGCGGAGATGGCAGCTGTTTGCTTGGGTTGCTAAATGTAAGAAATCAAACGACATTAATTGTTTATTGTTGCAAACGCACAACATTTGTCCGTAATGGAAAATCAGGCTGGCAGCTGCTCACTTCAGCTCCAATTAAAGGATAGAGCTTATAACGAGACGAGCAGGAGAGAGAAAAGGCCCTTTCAACTTTACCACCGTTTCCTGAAGATTCCACAAGAGTTTCCTCTTCAGGGGGCGAGATCCGACAATCCCTTAGCGCGCCAGAGCTGCTAATCAGATCAGCCGGCTGTTTTCTGTCACTGGGCTTCACGGTATTTGTGGGCTGGCAATGGGAAGGAGGGGACTCCGGAGAAGGTATGTGAGAGCTGTGCCCTCTCGCATCGGGCACCGTCGCCAAGCAGATAGAAAGGGGACTGGGGTTGGTTGGGGCCGTGTTGAAGCGCCTGTCCTCCCTATAACAGAGCTGACAGCCATCTCAATGGTTAAAAATTCGCCTTGGGTTGTCACCTCCGATTTCATTATAGCAGCTTTTGAACTGGAAAACTATATGTGGGAAACAGATATTTATGTAAGATTTGAGAGTGGGATTTTCCATCCATTCAGCCTCGCCGCTGTACTTCACTGCATGCAAAATGAGCCCTATCATTCATGCTAAACACCACTGAAATCTCTTCCTGGCTAGCGCCTTTCATCAGTTGTGTCCAGTTTTACAGAGATTTCTTCTGGAGTGAGTGTGTGTGTGCAAGAGAGACAGAGACAGAGAAAGAGAGATATTCTTCTAGTGAAAGTACTGAAACCTCTGAAGGATGTTTTGTGAATGTTACATTTTTTTTTTCCTTAAAAAGAGCTCTCCGTAATCATCATGTCCAGACATATTTTCCACTTCTCTGAGCTCTGAAAGAAATTCTAGGGCTCTCCCCCTTATTAAATATAATACCGATAATAATATTCTGTAATTCTGCTTTAGCAGATTTGAATCCCCTTGTCATAGAGTCATTTCATGCTAGAGCAGTTGCAGGATTTTAAATCATATTATATATAAAATATTCATATATATATATATATATATATATATATATATATATATATATATATATTTCCCCCCCTGGACTATGAAGAGGGTGAGGAGTTGAAGATAATTCCTCCTGAAAACAGTCTTTCCAGCAACCTAGAGTACTGCTTCATTCTGGACTGTTCAATAGCAGTTTGTCCTCCTTAGTCTGTTCAGTATGCCACCCAAATGAGTGTCAGGGTATCTGCTGACTGTCATAAATAGGACAGATATTTTAGAGACACTGGCTAATGATCTCTGAAATTCGTGCTGTAATGCTGTCATTTAAACTTTTTCATCTTTCCTCCCTGCAAATTGGATCTTAGGTTTCTAATTATTATTACAATTAAAATCAATGCTTCTGCTTTGTAATTTGTAGTCTCCCCCAGCCCTCAAGACTCCAGATGGGTAAATCTCTGCATCCAGGACTCTGTAACATTTCTTGGCTGCATTTCTGGTGTCCAGATGCATATCTTGAGTTCTTATAGCTGTGTGAATGTGGATGAAGAACAAACAGATCGTTTTGGAGAAGCCCTCACTAGGAGCAGCTCCACTTACTTAGTAACTATACACATATAAACTATGAAGGCAAGGAAGTCTTTCACTTGGAAAATTACTCTTGAGTATTTTATAAAACTAGGCTCAAGACAGCATTCATCTAATACAACTTCTCAATTTAGTAGCGAAAGTGAGCACAGTTTAAGGTGTCACTGGTAGCCTGACCCATGTCAATAAACAAACAGGACAAACAAATACCACATAAAATCTGCTCACCAGGAGTAGATCACTTGAGGGCATTTGTAAAGACTGATCTGTGAATATTCTCATCAGGTAACATTTCCTGAAAATTATGCAGAGATTTAAGGTCTGATACTCCTTGTTAGCCTGAAGGATCAGATTGTTGGAGCAAAGCAAGGCAACTTCAAAGACTAAGAATATAATGATTGTACTCAAGAAATTGTACCTCTGGGCTTTGCTTTCCAGGTTCTTTTCCTTGTTTATTGGTGGGGAAAAGGAGCATGCACATACTAAAAGGGTTAGAGTTCACACTTCAATAACTGTTCAGAAAACCTTCTCAATATAATAAATTAATGTTTTAAAGGAAAACAATCTTCATTTTTCTACTCAAGTTTCCGCTCTTCACGGCTTTATCAACATTCTAATTTGAACAAGTTTTCCATGCAAAACCAAAAGCTTTCAATGGATAAATTGACACTCAATTTATATTTCCATCAGAAAAGTTTTGTGTTTGACAAATCGATGAACAAGTAGAATCAGAGTACCCTTTCAATTATAGGTGCAATTTAAAGGTCCCAAGACTTTCTTATAAAGATATTGTGTTCAGCATTGCTGCTAATATTAGTTTCAATGATTTTATTATTTGTTTCAAAGTCATTCAGTGAATCAGAGAATAAAAATACAGTTTGCTTTTTGCAGTTTGCATTCAGTATTGTTGGCATTCAATAATGGGGCTAGATTTGCTTTTTAATTCAGAAGAAACTCCTGACTTGAGTATATCATACATCTCTTAGAGGATGTAGGCATTAACCAAAAAGGAGATTATTGTTGATATCTGTTATGTGTTACACACACATTCGCACACACACACACACATACACACAAACACACACCCAGCTTCTTGAAAATATGACCAGGTAACTAACTCTTTATTGGTTCAAATATGAGAATTTTGTGGTATTTCCTTTGCCATTTCATCTGCCTTTGATAACTTGACTGATTTGTGTATTTGTGTATTGATTAGTCTTTAAGATATGTTATCTGTGGTGCTGGGAATTGCTCCCCAGAATCCCATAAGTGTACTGTTATGAAGCTGAACAATTTTTGATGGTAAAAGGCCAGCATCTGATTTTCTGAGGCTTAATTAACCAAAGGGCTATTAGTCGTTCTCCTCTCATTCTCACAGAAAGTTGGGATGCTCAATCTATTTCTGCTGAATTGTTGGTTCCTGCCTCTGGAACCCGCTTCAGATGTAACCAAGAGAAGAAAATTAGTTGAACCTGGCAACTTCAAAAGGTCAGAAAAGAAATAAGTTCAAGGGCTGCCATTTAGCTGCTTCTCCCATATGTTGCTGCTAACTAAATCTCCATTGCCACTTCATGGTGCAGCAGTGAGGCCATATCCCAAGCTTTTATTTCCTGAGTTTTAAATGTCATGTGCTATTCCCTATCATAACATCACTCACCTTCTTTAAACATCTCTTTTTTAAAAAAGTTCTATTGGTAAATAGAAATATATAGAAATGATTTTCTATCTCTTTGGAAAGTATCACAAACAATAATACCTGTATTGATAACCTTCAAGCCCTTTCCTTTCCTGCCACCCCCACCCCCACACCCCACTGTGCAAGACAACTGCAAATGCCAGGAGGATTTGGTCTAAGGCCAAGTATAGAATTAGTGCCTGGTAAATATTTATTTGATGAACTAAGAAATTAGGAAAGATGAGGCTACCCCTACCTTTGCTAGGCTATTTTCCATAAAGGGGAGGGAGGGAATGCAATCTTATCCAAAGTCCAATATTGGGATTAGGTACTACAATTTTCTCTACAGAAATTTCATAAATCCTCCTAAGTTTATTTTTAGACAGAGCTTTTCTCATATTTTAAAATCAATTTTACCCATGTTCCACAAAGCATATTTTTTCTCCCTTCACAATCATTTTTTTTTTAAACGATTGCGGAATATAAAAAAAAAATGACATAATTCAGCTTTGTAAAAATGAGAGTGCCTCCAAGACTAGACTGGCATCACAGAATGCTATTAAACTGTATGTGATGCAGAG